CTTCTCCTCCTCCTCCTCCTCCTCCTTCTTCTTTCTTCTTCTTCTTCTTTTTTATTTTTTGAGCCTCCCCCTGCCCCCAAAGGCTGGGATTAAAGGCATGGGCCACTGTACCCGGCTTCACAGTGACTTTTCTATTGCTGTGACCAAGGCAACTTTAAGAAAGCATTTAATTTGGGGCTCACAGTTCCAGAAACTAGAGTCCATGACTATCATGGCAGAGAACATGGCAGCAGGCGTGCAGGCGTGCCAGTGGAGTAGGAGCTGAGAGCTCACATCTGAACCACCAGCCTGAGGCAGAGAGGGAGCGCTAACTGGAAATGGCGTGACCTTTCGAAACCTCACAGCCCACCCCCAGTGACACACCTCCTCCAAGGCCCCACCTCCTGATCATGTAAACGCCTATAGGAACCACCGCCTATAGGTTCTCTTTTGTCAAGGCAGGATGTCACAGGACTGGGACGTGGGCATCTTGGGGACTATCGTTCTGCCGAGCACAGGCTACTCTTTCTCGTTCTTAACTGTCTTACAGAGGGGAGAACAGGCTCAGAGAGGCGAGCTGCTGAGGGGCATGGTGAGGCCGGGCTGTCGGCTCCTCCCTGCTGTTCTCTGTCAAGAGCCAGTGGGTAGCAGTGCTGGGACACAGGCAAGCTGAGCCAAAGCTGGATCTGGGCAGGTCCTTACATGGCTGGAGATGAGAGGACGGTGCAGAAGACAGGGCCTGTGTGAGAGAACTGAGGGCCCGGCAGTCAGCTGCCTGGGGCATCTTCAGCGGTCAGGTTAGAGAGGCCTTGCTGGCTGCCTCTTTCTTCAGGACGCACAGCAACCCTGTGTGAGGCCATCACCCCCTATGCTGATGGGCCAGAGGGAATGTGACAGAAGGTGTTGCTTGCCTGTGGTGAGGCTGCCTAAAAGATGGGTTGTTGGCAGCTGGGACCGACTGTGATCCATAGCTTAAGTGGATGGGGGTGTGTTTGTGGGCATGGTGTGTACTCTGTGTGGTGTGTGGGCTGTGTATGAGACACACGTGAATGTCCCTCTGTGTGTCACTAACATGGTGGGGGATATATACGTATGTTTGTTTGGCATGTATGGCATGGATTAGTATGCAGTGTGTGCACTGTGTATGTGTATCATGCACATACATGTGCTGTGTGTGGTATGAGCATACATAGTATATGTGCCATATAATATATTTGTGTGATGTGTGGATACAGCATGCATGAGTGTGCATGAGTGTAGCTGGCTGCTGGGTGTGTGTGTGTGTGTATGTGCTCCCAGCTACTGTGTGGGCACAGCGTGCGTTTGTGTAGTGTGTGTGTGTGTGTGTGTGTGTGTGTGCTCCCGGCTACTGTGTGGGTACAGCATGTATTTGTGTAGTGTGTTGGCTTCTTCGTGGAAGAATGCTGGAAACTAGGTCTCTATGGAGTTCTCTGTGGCTGCAAAGACTAGTCTTCTCTGTGGGCTCCGGCCCCCTCCTCTGTAGAGCTGGGCTACCCTGCTTTGCAGCCTGGGACTCTGAGTCGATTTGCTGGCAACAGGGAACATGGCCGCTCACTGCTGGAACCCGCTGCCTCCTGGCTAGAGCTGTGCTGCCTGCAGATCTTTCCGAGTGAAGCGATGGAAACTGGGGCGAGAGAACTGTGTATACCCGCCCCACACAGCAGACAGGGCTACAGACTTACACATGCGCTGCCCAAGTCCATGCAGAGCCCTGACCTGAGCTTTCAGAGTTGCACGCACGCACGCACGCACGCACGCACGCACACAGGCACGCACACACACACACACGCACATGCACACACCCTGGGCTGGAAACAGGGTCTGTGAAGGTGTGACCAGGTAAGAGGTCATGATGGAGAAGGTGACCCAAGTTATGTGCCTGGGGTGTACCTAAGGAGAAAAACAGGGCGAAGCCATATGAAGATGGAACAGAGACAGGGTGACATGGCCTACCTAAGGGCCACCAAGCCCTGCTGGGCACCAGGAGCTGAAGAGAGGCCTGAGAAGATTCCTCTCAGGGTCCCTAGGAGCCGGCCAGTCACCAGCTTGGCCTGTGACATGACAGAAGTCATGTCTGCTGTGCTGAGGCAGAGCTCTGTTGCAGAGTACAGCTCAGCATGCACAAAGCCCTGGGTTCTATCCTCAGAGCCACATAAAACAGGACGTAGTGGTGTCCCAGAACTCTAGAGGCAGGAGGATCAGGAGTTCAAAGTCGTTCTCAGCTACATAGTGAGTTCGATGCTAGCCCGAGATACACAAGACCTGGTCTCAAAACAGAGCAAACACAAGGCATCTCTGTTGTCTGAACCCTCAGATTGGGGTCCTTCGTCAGGGCCACTTAGGAACTCATGTAGATGAAGGATGTCTTGAAAATGAACTTCTAGCCTCCATTCTGGGACCAGAGGTCCCTCTGGGGCTTCTCAAGCCATACCCAGTCCAGGCCAAAGGACAGAGGGGCAGGACTGAGGCCAAGGTAGGGGCGCAGCCAGCCTCTGAGACTGGAGGAGCATTGGGTCCCAGGCCTTCCTCTTGTCCTGACTCCCTCTGTATGGGCTGTGTCCCAGTCCAATTTTCCCCTTTAAAGGGACACCAGGCACTGGCCTTGGGCCCACCCTCCTGACCTCATCCTAACTGGCTCTTCCCCAAGGCCCTATTTCCAAGAGTGGCCCTCACAGGTACATGAGAGGGACATCGATGCTGCCAACATCATTGTGGGGTTTCATCTGGAGGATCAGAGGCCCCCTGGACACTGCTTTGGATCCTGGGGTGGGGCCCAAGCCCTTGGTAGGCAGAAGACAGGGTGGGAGCAGAGCTTGCTCCACAAAATACGAGCCAGAGCCGATGAGAACTCCCCAAATCTGGACAGAGCTCGGCTACACTGTCTGTTCACATGTGGACACGTTTGCATTTTCCCATGAATATATTTTACTTTTTTTTTTTTTCAGAACCAGGAAGAATCAGAATGCTTCTCCCAGTTCGTGAGCTCACCCCTCAGAGAACCAAGGAGCAGTTTAGCAGCCACAGTGGTGGGAACTCCATGCCACCCTCACAGTGGGATGCCCTCTACTGCTGAGCCCCACCCTGTGGCCTCATGGACCACCTGAGAGCAGCTGGGGCAGCCTGAACACAGCAGGGACAGGAGAGCTAGAAGATGGGCTCTGGCTTGGGGCTAGCTGTCGGTCAGGTGGCCATGGGGCCCTGGACATGTAGCTGTCCATCTTGTCTCTTCGTAAAAGTGGACACAAAGGTCTCTGCTTGGAAGGTGAGTTCTGTGGCTTCAAGTGACCCCGTGTGAAGGTTCAAGCCAGAGTCCACAGGGAGGGGCTCTGAAGGAGCTGGCAGTGTGTCCCAGAGAGGTCTGCCAGAGCTCAGCATCTCCGACCTGGAGATCAGTGGGCAAGTACAATGGAGTCCCACCCTCCGTGGCCACAGCCTTTCTGGAGGCACCCTGTAAATGATGAAACCAGAGCCCATGTATCGCCCTTTGCCCAGCTCCTGAAGCTGGCCTGTCCCTGCATTTACAAGGCCAACTGGATGAAGTCAAGAATTCTGATCCCTGGAGATGTCAGCCCGGGCACCAACAAAGAAAGTAGAAATGGAATAAAAATTCTTTTTTAATGGTCTCGGCTGCTAAGTTCAGCACTTCAGCCAGAAATCTGAGTGGCGAGCCCACAGCAGAGCCTTCCAAAACTCCACCTCACACACCGTACTTCATCCAAGAATAATGGGAGCAGATGGAGTCGTTTTCCTGTGCTCCGTCCAGGGTGATGTGGTGCTAATCATCAGAGTGATACTGGACTGGGGTCAGATCAACAGGCGAATGGACCAGCAGAACAAGATTAAGGGCAGGAGAAGCAGAGCCAGGGCACCTCTGTGATGTACAGATGCAGAGCCTAGTGAAACAGACATCCGTCCTGCTGGCTGGTGAACCCCACTGAGATGACCTGTCACCCTGTGCAACCCACTGTCCTTCCAGAGCTCAATGTCACCAGTGTGAAAGACCACCTGGTCAGTGGTCAGCAGCTGGAGAAAGGTATTAGAAGAGGACTCTGTCATAATGAGGTTCCCCGTGGCATGCACATGACACTAGAGTGTCCCCATGTGGCTGAAGAAGGCAGCCTGCCCAGACCTAAGATCCTGCATGGTCAGTCCTGAGACCTCATCTTGCTCTGAAATGGGGCCTGAAGCCAAGAGGGACATGACGTGCCTGAGGCCCATGGGAGTGGATGCACAGTCCTCCCCACAGCTCTTCTCCCCCCTAAGCCTTCTGTTGCTATAGCTACACCCATGTCCTCCACCAACACAGGCCTGCAAGGAAGACACTTCTGCAAGGAATCACCTGTTTCTCATTGACCTCTACAGAGTGACAGCAGGTCCCTGCCTATGGAAGAGAGTGGCCTTAGTGGGAAGAACGGAGGTGGATGAACAACAGAGTCTGAGCCAGGACCTGGGCAGTGGCTGTGTTTCCAATTTCCCTTGGGGGATCCTGTGCCTGCCATGAGAGAAGCAAGTCCTGGGATCTCCTCAGACTGAGAGGCATGAGACTCACGTGGGGTGAAGTCGAAGAAGGCCAGGCTTGCAGCCTGCTCGGCTGAGTGCAGAAGTGCCTAACAGAACTGCCCGACCCAAAGGTAAGTGAGTGAGAAACCTGTCTATCACTGTGTGCTGCTGTGATTTCTGTGGCTATTTGTTACACAGCAGTGGCTGGCTGATACAGCTTGGGATCTGGGTGAGAACAAGAGTTGGCAGAGGGAGGGGAGGGTGGGCAGTAAAATGAACGTAAACTGTCTTCTGACGCCTCACGTATTTGAACACTCGGTCCCCTGACGGTGGCACTGTTTTGTGAGACTGTAGAACCTTGGGGGGGGGGTTCTACATCTGAGGAAGTGGGTCTCTGCAGGGGCCCCACTTCCTGTCTACTGTCTGCTTCCTGTGTAAGAGGAATCCAATCTATGGAGAAGTGAGGAGTCCCAGCCACACCTCCCATCATGAACTCCACTATGACAGCCTCCTCGACTATTCTTGTTACATGGCACCCAAGAGTCATTTTTAGGAGTGTGGCTCAGGGGCTCTGCAGTGCCCGGATGCTTTCCTCAAGGTTTAACTGGGTAAGGGGTCATCTGGAGGATGATCCAGAGCGAGTGCCTTCTTGTCATATCATGGTGGCGCCCACACCAGCAGTGTGCCCTTCCATGACACGGGTCTCGGTCCCCTGGCTGAGCCCACCTAACTGTCACTGTCGGCCTGAAGTCACTTTCCAGCCTCTCATCCTCTACTACCCAGCATGGCTCCCACTTGGCACAGGACCCTCCTTCCCTTCTGGTGGGATGCGTTTTCTTATAGTGTCTGGGAACCATTTACTGTCTTGCGATTATTATTTATTCATTCGGGAGTTTGTTTAGACCATTATGGACTTGTGGGTATTTATTTTATGCTTTGGGTTATGACCCTACACTGTTATTTATTTTCTGGCTCCAGCCTTGGGTACTGGAAGTCATTCAGTTGGCACCTCTGCTTCTGACACCAAGGCATCCGTGTGTGTGTGTGTGTGTGTGTGTGTGTGTGTGTGTGTGTGTGTGTGTGTGTGTATTTGACACTAAGAGGTGGTCCATGATCCTGTGGCTTGTCCCTTGGGAATTCCCCAACGGGGCATTTCCCCACATGTGTGCTGGGCATTGCTCGGAGACGTGTGAGAACTCCAGGCCTGAGCTGGGAGGATGCCCATGGCTGCTAGGGAGTCAGGGCTTCGAGGTGTCCTAAGTGAGACGCAGCCAAGGGTGCAGATGCATTGTGCAGATGTATGCAGGCACCTACTCGCCTGCCTAGTTGACCCTGGCTTCCTATGGTGTCTTCTGCATACGAGTGACCTGAGGAGGGCGCTCCAGCTCCCTTACTCTGACACCTGTCTCAGCACACACTTCCACTTGCCTGTGACAAGTGAGGTGGGTTCAGAACCTGCAGCCTGATTTCCCCATGCAGAGCGCAGCACCCTGCTTCTTCTGAGTCTTGTAGGTTCTCAGGAGAGTGCTGATCCAGGCTCAGGTCAGACCCCCTCCCCCTCCAGGAGCCTCTTTGGGGACGAAGGCTGACCCTCCTGCTCTCCTGCACAGATGAGAGGTTCAGCTTCTGGTTTCCAAGGGCAGGATCCCTCAGTCCAGGCCTCCCTTGGTCACCACCCCGTAGCGGGTCTGGAGGAGACTCTAGCCACTGCCTTCACCTAGGGAGACAGCCCCAGTCCACACGTGCGGATGGGTGGGCAGACATGAGCCTATGTGGTGTCTATCTCCACCTATGCTGATCATTTTTTTTAAACTTGGTGAGAGCTGGAGCCGTCTGAGAGCAGGGAACCCCAGATGAGTAAATGCCTCCACCAGACTGGGCTGTAGGCAAAACTGTGGACTATTTTCTTGATTCATGATTTCTTCAGATGGCCTCAGAGCGACTGACTTATTGTCCCCTGGCACGTGCTCCTGGGGTGTATAACAAAGTAACTGACCAAGCCAGGGGGAAGCAAGCCACCAAGCAGCACCCCTCCACGACATCGACTTCAGTTCCTTCCCCGGCTTCCCTCAGTGATGGAGTCTGACCAGGGAGTTTTAAGACGAAATAAAACCTTTTCCTCTCCAAGTTGCTTTTGGCCATGGTGGTTTTGTTTTTTAAAGAAAGAAAAGAAACCCTAACTAAGACACCATCCCTCCTCTGTCCTCTATCCTCTGTGTGGAGCATGAGGCCCCCCGCCAGGCCCGTGAGCCCGGGTATGTGCTCAGCACAGAGCTTACCCAGCCACTGTAGCGAAACTCCTGCAGATGGCAGTGCGTTGTCCTACGCCCATCCTGAAGCCGTGGGTGGAGGCCTGAGAGAGGATACGTTCAGTGCTACCAAGAACCCAGGACTGTGAGGGCCACGAGACAGAAAAACCACCTTGCTGAGCCCTGCAGCCATGCTAGTCCCTGTGAGCACACCAGAGACAGGACCCACGCAGGGTGGTGGGGTGTGTGAGGACATGGAAGCTGCCTGCTGAGCCCAGCCTTGACGTCATCATCATTCACACACACCTGGACCCCCGGGGGGGACTGAGAGACAGTGTGCCTCAGGTCTGCTACCTACCCATGTATCTCTCAGTTTTACAGACAAGGGTCAGGAGGCTGCTGGCAACACATGAGGCCCAGGCTGTTTGGTGTCACCAGGAGGTCAACACTCTCTTCCTACACAGCCTTGCCTTCCCCTCATCCAATACGGATACCCACGCAGAGAGAAGCAGGCAGCGTCCCGCTTGGCGCTCCATCCCATCTAGGTCCTTAGCATCTTAGCATCTTAGGTTCCTTAGCATGTGTAAGGGCTTCCTCCTCCGCCTTCCTCACAGACCTCCAGAGGCTGCAGGGGTGGAGGACAGAAACATCATCCTCAGCAGAAGAGTGTCAGGTGTGGGGACCAGAGACAATAGAGTCAACCCAGGACTCAGTTCAGCTCTGGGCAGTGAGCGAAAGGCAGCAACTGCCTCACACCTGCCTCACCGACTCCCACTAGCTGGAGGTGGAGGGCTAGCACTAGAAGATCCCAAGGCTCTACCCAGCTTCAGGGGAGTGTGCTCATGATCGATTGATTAGTAATGCCTGCACAGAGTACAAGGTTAGTAGAACACTGGCTTTCCTCACTAACAGGGGTTGGGGGATGGGATGTGGGGGTTGGGGGATGGGATGTGGGGATTGGGGGATGGGATGTGGGGGTTAGGGGTGAGGGTGCTTCAAGAATCTGTGAACAAACTACAAGTAAGAGGAGACCTCAAAACTTCCCACCCCTTCCTGTCCTCCCGACACAGGAGCACCCCTGAGCTGTCCCTGTCCTTGCTGTATCATGACCTTGACCACTGCCAGGCGTCGGTTGTCTGAGTCACCTGCCCAATCAGTTTTCACCTGGCTACAGCCCCCAGCAGCCTTCCCACCCGCATACCCTCCTCACCCCATCCTTGGTCATTGGGTACCCAGGAGTCACTGGCTGCTCGTGTCCCTCCAATGGCATGGGCAGCTGCCCTGCTTCACAGAGGCCAGCCTGAAACACAGAGTCCTACCCCAGATGGATCAGGCTGGTCCCACCTCACTGGCCTCTCATCTACTCGTCCAATGAGGCAGTAGGGATGCCTTGGGACAAAGTCATCTGCCTTCAGGGTGAGGAATGCAAGCGGATGCGAACGGAAGTGGGGATGGAGATGATGTCAGGGACCGGAGTGGAGTGACCTGGAGTGCAGCCCGGAATGAGTCCCCCCGGAGAGGAGTTCAGAGAAGCAATGCCCCCTCCCACAGCCGACCTCTGCCTCCTCCAAAGTCTGTGAGGAAGAAATGGCATTTCTCTCCTTAAACACATTAACCTCCCAAGCCACAGGAGTCTTCCGACTCTTCCACTGAGCAGGGGCCGCAAAACCGGAGGCAGAATCCTGCCCCAGCACATTCCTGGCTCACTTGATGCTAGGAGCTCCCAGGTCCCAGCTGTCTGAATGAGCTGCACTTGGCTCTCATAGCCCTGCATTGTGTTGGCTGGAGGCTCTGAGTAGCCCATTCCCTCTTGGGCAGGGACAGGGTGACTTCTGGGGCTTCCAGAACCAACTCAAGGTCAGCTGAGAGAGCTCAGAGGCTGCGGGGCCAGAGCAACCTCCATGTCCTGTGCTCAGGAAGCTCACACTCCCTGACTGTGGTTGACCTGGCTTGAGGGAGGCCATTCCCTCTGACCTTTCAGCTCATCCTCAGGGAAGGGACATCTTAGGTGCCATAACACTGCCTATGGTTAATCCTGGGACAGGAAGGGCTCATTTTAGTTCACAGTGACTTAGCTTCCTGACATGTGGCCCTTGCTTGTGGTGGACTCCTGGGGGTTCCTTCCCCCCAAGTTTTGGATTTGGAACCCAGGGATTTGGCGTGTCTCCGAGGGAATGCATAGATTGGGGTGATCTAGTTCCTGAGTGCTCCCAGCCCAGAGTGTTCAGCACAAGTGGGGTCCTCATGAGCACAAACAAAGCCTCCCCTGGGGAGGCGCCCCTCCCAGCCTCACGCCCGCCCACAAGGCAAGGAGCTGTTGGCAGTAGGGTGGGGAGAGTTAACAGCCTTGGCCAGGCCCGTTCCTTATAGTTCAGCACGGCTTTCACGTTTTTTTTTTTTTAAAAGATTATAAAAAATAATAAAATGGACCACGTAACAGAGACCATATGTGGCCAGCCAAGCTGCAAGGTTTGCTATCTGGGCTTTACACGCAAAGCCGCATCTTAGGCACTAAAGGACAGGCACCAAGCAGCCTGCAGAGGCAGCAGGATTCTGCAGCTGGGTTCTCAGCCTGGCCTACCGAGGCCCATTCCCTCCCTGGAAGCCCCTGACCTCTCATGGCCTCAACGCTCTGCCCCCAGCCAATTCTGTTCCCAGTGAGACGCCCCCCCGCCCCTTGCACATCCACCTCCTCTGAGCTTTGTGGCACAGAGCCCATGGCCCTGCCCCCGGCCTCAGTTTCCTTATGTGCTCAGTAAGCAGTCCAGACTCAAGTCCCTGCGGCCTTCAGATTCCAGCATTGCCCACCCCCACAAAGCTTGTGGACCACCCAGAGGTTGCTGATGGCAGATGGACACCTATGGGACCCTGTAGATGTGGCCTGTGACACCTGGCTTATTATACTTGGCTCATTCCTATCACTGTTGTTCTGTGCCCCTCCTATATACTGTTGCCCTGCTAACCGTGCAGGTCTGGATTGCATGCTGGGAAGGGGCCTCCTGGTGGGTGAGCAGGGGCGAGGGTGGAGAATATGCTGAACCCCCAGGGCCAGTGTCCTGGGCTCCGATCCCGGTATTCTGCTTAACACCACACAGACCGCTGTACCCTCAGAAGAGAATCCAAGTTCTTGTCTTGGGGCCCAGGACCCCTGCCCCCTCTGCACTGTCTGCCCCACCCACCTGGCCACACATCTGGGGCCCGCCTCACCCAGGCTCATGCCTGCCCTCCTACTCCTGTTCCTATTAGCCTGCTCTGTCCTGGGGGGTGGACAGATGCCTTGTGACCCAAGGTATAGTCTGATCCCCCTTTCATGGTGGCCTTGGCTAGTACTTCTTCTGTTCCACTGATAACATCAGTTGCGGGGAGTAGGGCCCAGCAGAGTGGTATATTGGGGTACTTGCTGCTCTGTGAGGCTCCCTAGTGGATACCATTTCAAGGATAGGATCCTCTCATTTCTTAGCTCCCCTGACTCCTCTACAGAGACAGAGGCCAGGGCCAAGTTCCAAGCCCCACTTTCTGGGCTTCCAGGAGAGTCCCTAGGGTGGTTGGTGATAGGAGGTGATGTGGATGCAGGGCTGCATCCTGGGTCTGACTGGGTAAACTCAGACAGATGGCCATTCTTTGCCTCAATTTCTTTGTTAAATGTCCCATGAAAAGAGGAGCCTCTGCTTGTAGAGAGCGACAGAGTGACACATGGAGACACTGAAGCACCCACGTGCTGTGACACCCCCCCCACACACACACACTGTGTCCTCACCCCACAAGGCACACTGTATAAGGCTGTGAGAACATTCCCTTTGATTCAGAGAGCAGAAACGTGGGGCCAACCCCCATAACAAAGAGAGGCTGTGGAGACCGTCTACACGTCTACACGGGAATCTCAGTCACAGAATCAGGCTGGAGGCTGCCCAGAGCCAAGCCAGATGACACCCTGGACTTGGAGGCCTATGACTCTGGGTGACAGTGCCAACCCTCTGTTCCATGGTCTCTCCTCAGATGGAGTTTTCTCACCCCACACCTCTGCTCTAACTGAATAATAGTTGGGAGGGGTTGGGAGGAGCCACACACACAGCCTGAAACCCCAGGTGTGGCTGTCATGTCCCCTCCTCCGGCTCCAGGGCAGGATCCTTCCTGCCCATTGCTGATGCTACTGGCTTATGATAACGCTGTCCTAGGCTCTGCCTTTCCCTCTTTCTGGTAGGGATATCGCCACCATCTCATTGCAACTGGTCACATCTACAAAAACCATATTTCCAAATCAAGGTGCACGCACAGGTCCCAGGTGAACACAGGCTCACTCAGTTCAGAGGTCAGTCTACACTTGACTTAGTTCTCCTTGGGCCCTCGTGGTCCTTCTATGACAGCTAAATTGTACTTGGGCATTCTGCAGCTCATTTAAAATTGCAGAGTCCTACGGAGGATAGAAAATGTCCCAGATGCAGGTAGAGACACAGGTATTATCAAGACAGCCTTTCCTGGTCCACCGAGCTGGAGCAGAGTGATAGCCAGTCTGGCAGGAGAATCAGGAGCAAGTTAAGGCTCTAGGTTGCTGGAGCAAATATCACCAGTCAACGACAGAGCTCCTTCCCCTAGGCTGGACCCAACACAGTGCCTTGTAGTAGCACATCTTTGTGGGTAGAGCATTGCCACGGGGCCCCAGAACCCCTGCCTGCCTGCCAATGTCTGACTACTCAGAGGTACCAATGGGCCACTTGCAGTATGGAAAGGGAGTCTGGCCATGGCCCATGGAGTATCTTGGGGCGTAGAGAGGATGTATACTCATAGCAGCATGGCAGCCAGAAGCAGGATGCTTA